TAAGCAAATAATTTTCAATTTAACCATCTCAATTCATGTGTTTACATATGAATAATATGAAAATTTAATCTGTTTAAAACTCCAAATGCTAACTTAAACATTAAACAATTTATAATTTCAATCATCTTTTTATTAAAATATTTTTATTATAAAAAATTATTTATATTACACTTACTTAAGTCAAACATCGTTATTAAATACAATTAAAGATCGAGAGAAAGACTTTTTTGGTGTCCAACCATTAATTTTTAATGATTTACTTATCCAAGTTTTGATTTTTTACTTTATTCTAGTTTTTGAATTCATTTGAGGTCCAATTTTATTGACATGTCAAGCAAGATCCGTCACATGACAATCAAAAAATATCATGTGGCAATTAACTCGTCACGTGACAATCAACTTCGACACGTCAATACTACATGCTTTCGAGTGGCTATTATGCACTCAAATAGAATTAAAAAATAAAAAATAAAAAATTAGGCATTGAAACGGAAAAAAAATTAAAGGTTAAGCACCTAAGCGAGAAAAAAATCATTGGTTGGACAACAAAAAATGCAATTTTCTCAAAAAATTTATTTCAGTTTTCTCACACCAAATGTCTTCTCTCTTATTGCATTTTGATATCCTTTTTTTAATTATAAATGGATTTCATACATCTTTTGTGCTTCCGTAATGCATATACATATATGCATACATACATGTATTTTTTTAATATGATTTTTAATTAAGAATATATTATTATATTCTCTAAATCACATACGTGTAAGAATTTTTTTCTTTGTGCATTTTTGTTAAAAAATTAAATAGTAAAAAAAATAAACATAAAATAATTTTTTATTTTCTAAAAATATAAAATAAAAACAAGAAATTGTATATGTATACTCATCTTATTTTATAATTGTTTTTCAATGTTGTGTACTAAAATTAACTAATGATTTGGTTCAATGCAAGCGTGGTTACATTCATGTGTTAATAGATAGTTTTTTCATGAACTGCTTATTGTTTATATATATTTAGAAATATTGCTCAAATATTCTCATGTGGTAGAGTTATCCAATTTTAATCATATGGTTGCTTGTAAATAAGTAAATAATTTTCCCATCTCAATTCATGTGTTTACATAGAAATAATACAAAAATTCAACCCATTTAAGACTCAAAATGATAAACTTAAACATCAAACAATTTATAATTTCAATCATCTTTTTATTAAAATAATTTTATTTATATTTTTATAAAAAAAATTATTTATATTACACTTATGTAAGTCAAACACTCGTTATTAAATACAATTAAAGATTAAGAGAATGGTTTTTTAGGTGCTTAATTGTCGATTTCTAATGATTTGTTATTCAAGTTTTATTTTTTATTTATTTTGGTGTTCGAATTCACTTGAAGTGCAATTCTACTAATATGTCCGACAAGATCTCGCTACTTGATAGTTAAAAAATATCACGTGATCGTCAACTCTATCACATGACAATCAACTCTAGAAACGTCGGCACTCCATACTCTTAAGTGGTTGTTGGACACTCAAAAAAAAAAAAAAAAAAAGGATGGAGAACAAAAATATAGTTTTTTCAATAAATTTATTTCAATTTTCTCACTTTAAATATCTATTCTTTTCTCGTACTCGATATATCATTTCTTTATTATAGATAAATTTCATACATATTTTGTACTTTCATAATACATATATATATCAAAACTCTTTTTTAGATACTGAAAGTCACATAATTTTAAATTTTAAGAGCATGAGCAATTACATGCATGCTTGTTTTCATGTTATTATGGTAATTGCATAAGCAATTTTAACAATGCATTCACTTCTTAGCTTAATTCGTACTTTGCTTGTTACCTCTATCCGTATCGTTACCATTACAAAAATATTACACTTTAAACTCTCAAATTGAAAAGTTTGATCACTAAACTTATTTATGTCGATTCTATCCCATCTCGACCTACTACAAAAATTCAGCAAGTTCTTGACTACAAAAAACTTATGTCGGATATGATATGTTGGTCAATTTTCTTCCTAAATAGAGGAAGCAATTTTTGTTTTTTGTAACTTTCTTCATTGACCAATAATTTATTCCACAAATGACAATCATAATTAGATCTTATATGTCTTTTTTTTAATTTAATATTAATTGGACCTTATATATATTTGAACTAAATGACATAATATTAAATTTTTATCTAGATAGCTTAAAGGGTTTAGAATTTTTTAAAAGTAATTTTTCAACGATACATAGTACAACAAAAAATTGTCATTGATAAGTTTAAAAAAAAAAGCAATGAGTATGATATGAAAAATATTTCTTAGAAATTATTGGACTAATTTTGGAATCTCGAGACAACAACTTTATTAAAAAAACTATATTTTGGTGCCCAATCTTGATATTTTTTATTTCAATGTCTAATCTTTATTTTTATTTTTATTTTTGAGTGCCCACATCACCTCGGAGTATGAGGTGCTAATGTGTCTAGAGTAAATTACCACATAATATTTTTTTATTGTCATGTGATAGCTCTTGCTAGACACATTAGCAAAATTGAACCTTAGGTTAATTTAGACATCAAAACAAATAAAAAAATCCAAACTTTGACAACAAATCATTAGAAATCAATGATTAAGAAAAAGTCGAGCACCAAAAAAACCTCTCTCTCTTAAAGATTTGAATTGGTGTTCATCAATTAAAATGAGGTTTTTTTTATAAAAAAAATCGTATTAGTGAAAACAAAAACACAACAAAAACTCTAATACTACCCATGAATGTGATTTATTTCATATTTTCAATACACATTCAATTTTAAATGATTGGTTGTTATCAATTTTTTTAAAATATATTATAAATTACATAACACAATTTAATAATTTTATAGAGAAAATAATTAATTAAAAAATAAGAATATAAACAAGACATATTCAACTTATATAACATGACATAACATATGCAATACATTTGTTTAATTGTTATCAAGTACAACAATCATAACCAAAATCCAAAAAGAAAAAAAATGAAAATTTCAATTCTGTAAAATTTATTAGTCATCGATTAGAACTAGTAAATTTATATTAATTTATTTTTGTGACAAGAACGGATGGAGGTTGAATGGGTTAAACAAAAAAAAAAAGCGCAGGAGAAATTAACAAAAGTTTTAAGATTGGGGACTCATATGTTAATGAGTATGCGACAGTGATTTGACCGAAGAAAGAAAATCCTGTCCCTCAACCCGTCACGCGCTTCTTTCAAACTTGAATGAGACTGGCATTGCTGTCACAACTGTTCATTGATGACTGTTGTCAAAAATCACTACTGAAAAATCACAGGTGATCCCTCTACTTTTTATTTTCTGGATATAAAATCCCTTATTTTAAATTGAATAAAATCAACTCCTTTATTTTTCATCAAAGGTGATTTAGCCCCTTCATCCAATTACATTACCAATTATAAAGATAGATTAATACCATTTATTATAACATAAATTAATAAAAAATTTTAATTACATTCAATTAAAAATCAAAAGAATTAATTTCATCTATTATAAAAGTTCAGGATCAAAATAAATTGAAAGTTTAAATAGTTGAGGGACCAGATATTGTAAAAAACCTAGCGAAGATGGCTTTCCCCCAAGCCCTGACTTTGTACTTCCTATTTTACACTAATTAATTTTAAGACTAAATAGACCAATGTTTCTCTCAATTTTAATCTATTTAAAAATTAGTACATAAATTTTTAATTTGATTTTTTAATTTTTTAATTTTGTTTTAGTCTATATTTTATTTTATTTTTTAAAAAATAATGATTACATAAAAAGTTTTATGATAAAAATTATTAAGTAAGATTTATCTAGAACTCTCTAAAAAAATTAGAACAATTGCAAATTATTTTTCATTTTTTCCAGTAAAACAATATATTTTCTAATATTGAAAAATTCTATTTGTTTTTTTAAAGTGTACTTATGTTTTCTAATATGTGTGTATTACTTTAATTTAAAATATTAAAAATTGAAATTTTCAAAGGAAGAAATAGTTGAAATGAACTAAATATATATGAAAAATAAAGTTCAAAGAGTATCAAATTTAAAATTAAAAGTTTAATAACTATTTTCAAATGAACTTATTTTCTGAAAAAAAAATTGCCCTCTTTTGCTTGATTTTGACTACAAAGTATAATTATTTCTTTGGTAAAAAATAAGAAATCACTATTATTAACTTACTTTACAACTCATGATAATAAAACAAGATCTGAGAAAACTAATTCTCATTATAAAAAGAAAAAAGAAAACAGCTAAAAAAAAGTCTTTTATTCCGTTTTATCCCGTGCATATAGACGCTTATATACTAGCTTTATTAATCAGCTCAGCCTCAGCTACTCTGTCTCGTTAAATTGACTGGTTGGCTAGAAAATCTGCAAAAAAGCGTTTCTTCTGCTCTTCATTTCTCTCTCTGTGTGCCTCTAATCAGGCAATTATGTGTATCTGATTTTTAAATAATTATGATATTTTGTGTTGTTAATCATTGTTTGATTGTTAATTTAGTTGATGATTTTTGTTAATATCAGGTTAATTTTTATGCTTTTTTGAAATGGAACGTGGATTTTCGGACCGACTTGTAGGGTCAGAGATTCATGGATTTCATACTCTTCGAGGTACCAAAATTTTAAGTTTTCTTTTCCATTTAACTTTGCAGTTTTTTTGGTCTCTTTGTTTCAATTTCATCAAAATTAGGTAATAGCTGCTTAGGCATGGCATGGCAGACATTGGAGAAAGGCTTTTTTCTTTTTGTCTCCCTCTGGAGGCGGGGAGCAAAAACATGCTGTAGTTTCATGTCTGGAAGTGCTTTCTTTGGTAGATGTTTTTGTTTTTTATTAGTCATGTAGTTTTGCTTTTCTGATAGCGTTTGGTTTGGTTTTTGCTCTCGAGCTAGCTGGAGTTAGTTACTTGTTTTGTTGTATATTCATCAACCAAAAAACAAAAAAGTGGTAAGAGAGAAAAATGTTGATCGTAGAGGGTGGAATAGCAAATACTAGAATTCATTCAGAAAGTGGGGTTGGGGAAGATAAGCTGTGCGAATTGTTTACGTTATGATCATATCTTCTCTTAAGGTGGTCTGTGATTTCTTGACAGTCTTTCATAAATATTCATCTGGTTGTGCTTATCTAATGTTGTTTTTATACAAATAGTTATACTTATTGTAGTCCTTGTTATATGATAGATTTGGATGTTCAGAACATAATGGAGGAATCTAGAACAAGATGGCTCCGTCCAAATGAAATTCACGCAATGCTCTGTAATTACAAGTATTTCACCATTAATGTCAAGCCAGTAAACTTGCCCAAGAGTAAGTATCTGTTATTTTTAGTGCATGAACATGGTTGAGTGTTTTTTGCTCCCCAATGAAAATTTCGTTATAAATAAATTTTATTTTGATACAAGCAATATTCTGACATGCTTAGGCACTTTGAGGTTTCCTGCTGAACATGAGTCATGACATATATTATTTCCATCATTTTATTCACTTTTTGCTACCATTTTTTGCAAATTTAATCACCATATTCATTCGTGCATGTCTAGCTTCACTTTTCTTCTTCTGGTTTTATTTGTTTGTAATTTTACTTAACTTGGTTAAGTTTTACCCTTCCCCTAGTAGGTTTTATTTTCATACGAGTGCTACTGATAATCTGAATGCTTGCCTGATGGATGTTGGTGAGCCTTTCTACCATTTACGTGCAACTGATCAGAACTGGAGCAGTGGTCAATATGCTATATGCCCAAACGTGCTTGTAACTCATATTCAGTTAGTAAATAACAGATGGACATATTTCTTGTTGGTCTCAAAAGCATTTTGATTGTTCATGAAGGCCCTCCTTTCATCAAGTAATTTAGAAGGTCAAACAACATTTATTAGTGTTTCTCCAGTTTGATTTTCTGCAATGTAACAGGTGGCAGAATTGTATTATTTGACCGTAAGATGCTTAGGAACTTCCGAAAAGATGGTCATAACTGGAAGAAGAAAAAAGATGGGAAGACTGTTAAAGAAGCGCATGAACACTTAAAAGTGAGATTTCTGATTTCCTAAGGTGTTACATGTGAACCAACTAGAGGCCATTTAGTTAACTGACATTTTTCTTCTAGTAGATACATGAGTTTTGTGTTGAATATTGCCATAACTTATATGTAAGATTCTTCATTTCTATGATGTTACATAAGGCTTTAAACGAAATTATGCAGCTTAGTTGAATTACACCTGTTCCTCCAATGTGTACTTGAGTTTGTTTTTGAAACTCAGATCGTTATATTATTCTTTAAGATGATTTAGGATTTAGTTACTTGGTGCAACATTATCTTTGCTGTTGAAAAGTTTCTGATTTGATGAATTCATCATTGTATTTCCTGGTGCAGGTTAGTAATGAAGAGAGGATACATGTATACTACGCACATGGCCAAGATAACCCAACCTTTGTTCGCAGGTGTTATTGGCTGCTAGATAAGTATGTAACAATTAAAGCTCAAATGTATCCATGGCATAAAAAAAAAACACATTTCATGTTATGTTTCAAGTAGAAAAGATGACTCTCTTTCTCTCGCATGATCTTTGCTGGGGTTTAATTGAGCATTTTGATTTTTGTTTTTGTTTTTGTGTTTGTTTCAGGACTTTGGAACACATAGTTCTTGTGCACTATCGTGAAACCCAGGAGGTTGGTTTATCATTGCTTAGTAGCTGTTACTACAGTGCTTTGTTTTTGAAATTTTGTTCTTGTCTGCAGAAACGTCTTATTTTTGGTTTTGTATTTTCACCAATGAATCATAGCATGCAGATGATGATTGCATACTGAATATGGCTTTTCTTTTGGTGAGGTTTTGAGTGTAGTGCCACATTTAAACTGCATTTCTACATAAAGAATATTGGATGCAGTGCTTTCCTCCTTTCTATTTTTGTTCATAAAGTTCCTTTTTATTATTATTATTTTCTATATTGTGAACAAGGGAATTCAATCATCCTTTGATTATCATTCCAAGAAGATCCTTATTTTGTCTAGAAATACTTTGATGGAAAAAGCTATCAGTGTCAACGACTCTAGCATATTGTTGAGCTTCTTCTTTTTTTCATGAAAGAGGAGGGAACCTGTCCACACTTCCATTTTTAAATAAGCTCTCTCTGTCTCAGTGTGTGTATTTGTGTTTAACTTTCTGTTGTTTTTTATTTCAGTAAACAGATGGCTTTTTAAACCTTATTTTGGGTTCTGGTTGACTTATGATACAGTTACAGGGTTCTCCAGCCACTCCTGTGAATTCACATTCTAGTTCAGTCTCTGACCAGTCTGCTCCGTTGCTTTTATCAGAAGAATTTGATTCTGGAGCTGCTGGTGCATATTGTGTTGGGGAGAAAGATCTAGGTACTGTTATAGAACTTGCACATTCTACATATGTTATAGCAAGGGGTTTCAGTTTGGCAAGGTTTAGATGAAAAAAAATCACTGTTATGATCTTTATTCTTGATGGTCTTAAACATCTAACACAAATTTTTATTCGGTCGTCAATAACCTTTCCACTTTCTACGAAATTGCATATAATTCAATCTTACTCTTCTCTTTGTATGGAGAGTTAACAGGGTCCAGTGACAGCTTAACTGTCAGAAGTCATGCAATGAGGCTTCACGAACTTAATACACTTGAATGGGATGAGCTGGTGACAAATGATCCTGGCAATTCAATTTCACCTGGAGGAGGTATTATTAGACTAGATGCTCAATGTGGCGATCATGGGGTTTCATTAGCTTGGAAATCCATTTATGTGTATTTTATCTTTATCCTAATTTTTTCTTCTTTTCCTTTTGGCTTTTTTTTTTTTTTTTTTTTAATTGTTGACAGACAAGGTTCCATGCTTTGACCAACAGAATCAAATTGCAGTTAATGGGTCTGTAAATGATGTAAGCAGAATAGTTTGCAGTTCTAAGTTATTTTCGTGTCTCTGCATGTTAGTGGTTAATTCTTTCATTTTCATAGTTCCTAGCTATTCTAACGCACTTTTATTCATTCGATTTCGCTTGATGGTTCTTGCAGTTTAGCAGTTACAATGTTTTTAAAAATATAATTTATGTTCCTTTATAATAAGATTCTAGTTGGCCTATTTAATTTCTTCTGGTGTGTTGCTCTGTTGCTATTAGTTAGGATGAAGAAGTTTATCGATTAATTTTCATGCATCTCTTTCAATTATGATTATTGAAAATTCTGAATTTGATATTTGTAGACCTACTGACATCTGCTGTAATGTCACATCCATTGATGTTCCAGAGATTTCTCAAATTACGTCAGTTTGCTTGCTTGCTTATAATTAGGGGTTAAATACTGGTAGTAACTGATTAATGTTCTTTGCAGGGGAGCACTCTTTCAGGCTATCATTTATCAGCAGAAATGTCTGCATTGGGCAATTTAACTGAGTCTATTGTTAGGAGCAGTAACACTCAGTTCAATAATCCAGACAGTGTTTACAGCCAGTTAACAGGTGCCCAAGTAAATTCAGATGGTCAGAGGAAGGATTCTATTGTCCTGGGCGCCAGTGATTCATTGGACATGTTGGTTAATGATGGTTTACAAAGTCAGGACAGTTTTGGAAGGTGGATGAATTCCATCATTGATGACTCTCCCAGTTCAGTAGATGATGCCGTGCTTGAATCTTCAATTTCATCTGGTCATGAGTCGTTTGCTTCTCCAGGAATCGATCAACATCAATCTTCTGTTCAAGAACAAAAATTTATCATAACTGATTTCTCACCTGCATGGGCCTTTTCCAATGAAACAACCAAGGTTTGTTTCCTTTTCATACGATCCTCTGTTGCTATTCCTTTGGTGTCTATTTTGGCTTTAACTCATTGTTGATGGTTTGGATGTAAAAAAGAGCTGGTTTTTTGGCTTTTACTTATTTTGTGGAGGAAAAAAATTCTCTTTCGACATGGGTTATAAGTTCTGAGAATTCTTGGTAAGCTGGCACTTTATGGCAATTGGTTGGACTTTTCTTGGCATGACAGGATTCGTCAATCTGAAAATAGAATCAGCCATTAGAAATTTGTTTGAATAACTCAACACTTATTCAAGAAAAAAAAAGTACATTTTTTTTTGTATTTTTAACTTCTATCTAATCTTGGTTACAGATTCTAGTCACTGGATATTTCCTTGAGCAGTATTTGCATCTGGCAAAGTCCAATCTGTTCTGTGTCTGTGGAGACGCATTTGTTCGTGCAGAAATTGTCCAGGATGGGGTCTATACCTGTATGGTGTCACCGCATTCCCCTGGACCAGTACATCTATGTTTGAGTTTAGATGGCCATAAACCCATCAGCCAAATTTTAAATTTCGAGTACCGTGCTCCGTCAGTACATGATCCTGTTGTTGCATCAGAAGACAAATCCAAGTGGGAAGAATTCCATCTTCAGATGAGACTTGCTTATTTACTCTTATCTACTTCCAAGTCCCTTAATGTTCTATCTAGTAAACTGTCACCGACTAACCTGAAGGAGGCTAAGAAGTTCGCACAGAAAACTTCTAATATTTCTAATAGTTGGCAATACTTGATTAAGTCGATTGAGGACGGCAGAATTTCAGTTGCACAAGCAAAAGATGGTTTGTTTGAACTTTGTTTAAAGAACATGATAAAGGAATGGCTATTGGAAAGGTTAGTTGAAGGCTGTAAAACTGCTGAATATGATGCTCAAGGCCTTGGAGTAATCCATTTGTGTGCTATTATCGGATATACTTGGGCTGTATATTTATTTTCATTGTCCAGCTTATCATTGGATTTCCGTGATAAACATGGATGGACAGCACTTCACTGGGCAGCATATTATGGAAGGTATGGACTTGTCCTTTGTTGTTTTAATTTGCAGTTCTGTATTTAGTCAGCTTCAGTTCTTTAATTCTTGAATAAAAGAATGAGGACACTTTTGATCCTTTTCCATTTTCCTTTGCTTGTGACTGCTTCACTCTATTTCACGACTTGCTGTTCTTTATCTCTTCATGCCAATGCAAATCATATGCATCTCTCTTAAATAGAACCTTGAGCTACATCGGTATGATAGCATTATTAGCGATCAAGAAATCCGTATGTATATATTCTGAAAGGACTAGGAGTATATCTTAGACTTCTTTACCGACTCAAATGTGGTTCAATCTAGAACTAGTCATTTTTTGTCCAATTTTGATAATCTCCATATACAGGGAGAATATGGTTGCAGCTCTCTTATCTGCAGGGGCAAAGCCAAACTTGGTTACAGATCCTACCAAAGAAAATCCTGGCGGGTGCACTGCCGCCGATCTTGCATCTACAAAGGGTTATGATGGTTTAGCTGCTTATCTGTCTGAAAAGGCTTTGGTGGCACAATTTGAGTCTATGATAATAGCTGGAAATGTCACTGGCTCACTGCAAACAACTGCAACAGACACTGTCAATTCTAAGAGTCAAAGTGAGGAAGAGTCTTTTCTGAAGGATACTTTGGCAGCTTACCGCACAGCTGCTGATGCAGCAGCACGTATACAGGTTGCTTTCAGAGAACACTCTCTAAAAGTACGCACTAAAGCAGTTGAATTCTCCAGTCCAGAGGATGAAGCAATGAATATTATTGCAGCAATGAAGATCCAACATGCCTTTCGCAACTATGACAGTAAGAAAAAGATGGCAGCTGCTGCCCGCATTCAACATAGGTTCCGCACTTGGAAAATGCGAAAGGAATTCCTTTATATGCGTCATCAGACTATCAAAATTCAAGTAAGTGCTTACTCCCCTTTCATGCTGGTTTAATTTATGTGTAACTGCCAGCAGAGGAAAAAAAAGAAGGGAAACCAAGATTACCTCACGCCTGATGGTGATGATGGATGATATGAGGCCAGGTTGCATGTTTCCCTAATTTTTATCTTCTGTTCTTTCCTGAGTCAAAAGTGGTTAGTATAATTGATGTGGAATCCAAGAAATTCTGAGTCTGCCTGAGTAACATGGTTTGGAGTGGACCATTTTGGTTTCAAATATCCAAAAGAGTTGACATTTCATCTTAGCGGAACATAGCACCAGAAAAATAACAAGTTCAGTAGCAAATTAAATACAATGAACAGTAAAACACAACACTGTTTTCCTCGTTCCTTCTGATTGTTGCAAGCCTAATAAATTATTTTTAGCATAAGAAATCCAGGAAATTAATAAATGTATAAGATGAAAACAACTATTCAAAGAGTTTTTTACAAACATAAAAACTCAAGCTAGTAAAATTATAAAATGATTTGATTTACATAAAAATAGTGTAGTAATGCCAACGTTTCATAACTATTAAACCTGTACTTAAAAAGATTTATTACATTAAACCTTTCATTACTATTTGTTTGAATAATGATAAATAAAGATAATTTAATTTAATTTATACGTAACTTTAAAGGACAAGACTAGTGGTTAAAAAAATTTGTTCTTTCTTTTAACTTATTGAGTTTGAACATTGTAATTTGAAACTATGCTTAGTACGAGGAGAAAGGAGAAGCAAAGTTATCCTTGTAATAAAAAAGTGATTTTCCTTCTGTTATAATGCAGGCTGCTTTCCGAGGTTTCCAAGTGAGGAGGCAGTACCGTAAGATCATCTGGTCAGTTGGAGTGGTTGAGAAAGCAATTTTAAGATGGCGTTTAAAGAGAAAAGGGTTTCGTGGACTTCACGTTGAACCTGTTGAAGCAGCTGTAGATAAGAGAGATGAAAGTGATACAGAGGAAGACTTTTACAAAATCAGTCAGAAACAGGCAGAAGAACGTGTTGAGAGATCTGTAATACAGGTTCAAGCTATGTTCCGTTCAAAGAAAGCACAGAAGGAATACCAGAGGATGAAATTAACCCATAGCCAGGCAGCGGTAGGTGATTTACCTGGAAGTTGCTAGTCATACAATTCTGTCTTGCATATTAATTAACAAACTCATGTGCTTCTTCAGGTGGAATATGAAGCGCTTTTTGACCAAGATATGGATTTGGGGAGATGAAAGTGACTTGAAGATACAGGCATTGGTAATCTGGCTAGTAAAATAATATGTGCCTGCATATGAATGTATCAAAAGGAGGTTTGTGCACTTTAGTAGTCTGTACATTACTAGATTAACTGGTTGTGCTCTTTCTAACCTTTCATGCTGTTTTTAAGCTTTGAGAGGGTCCTTGCTGGTCTTTTTGGGTTTTAATCTTCTTTATGTTCTGACGTTAGGCGTATTAGATGGCTGGAAATTGAACTCAGTATTTGTCCCTGCATTTGTAATAACCGTGCTGCCATGATCAATTTCGCCGTAGTTTAGAAAGTCTGATAGCTAAGAGCCTCCATGACTTTTTCTTTGTTTAATTTAAAATGCAGCCAAAGAAACCATGATAAATTAGTTGTAGTTTGTTGTGATTTGGACAGCATATGCTGAGCTAGTCAATGATTGGGTAAGCTATAACTAAGACGTTTAGAGCATCTCTAATGCTCTCTTTATCACAATCTCTATCTTTAAAATTGAGATAGAGAGTGTCTTTAGCTCTCAAATACTAGAGAGTCCAAATGACTCTTTATCTTATATTTCATTAATGAAAATTATTATTTTCTATGCCACTCAGCCTCTTCACAAATAGTGTCTTTGGGTTTTATGGATTTTGTCAAAATAAAGAGTTAAAGTAGAAAGTAGCATTGGAGAAGATATTGATTTTTAATCTATATAATTAATGATGCTCTTTATTTATATTAAAAAGGTTAGTTAAAAGTAGAGAGTATCATTGAAGATGCTTTTAGCGGCCAGGGGGTAAAATTTTTAATGTTATGCTCAACTTGAAAATACTATAAATTCGAGATCTCTGTGTTTGTCGTTACTTCATTGACATGACAGCTAAATGCATTCAAATACCATATGTACTGAGTGAGTCATTTAAAACCATCGGCATATCCCCTATTTCGAGCAATGCTGCACATGAAAGCTTCCATGGGGCGATTATCAGCAACATCCAGATTTACTTTCCCTTTGCCAATGATGAAATTTGTAAGGCTAAGGTAGTGAAGCAATTCCTCTTCTGATGCAGCATAACCCAAGTCAATCTTGTTTCCTAGAATGAGAAATGGGACGTTTTCAAGTTTCTCGTCCGAGAGGAGAGCATCCAGCTCCTTCTTGGACGCTGCAAACCTTTCCCTGGCTAAAGCATCAATCAAGTAGGCTACAGCGTCCACCTACATGATGAATATGTGGCACATTGTAAGAGTTGCTAGGCAAATTCAATGGATGCCATGGACAATCTTTGTTGATTTAACATGACCATTGTGTTTGTTAAATATGATTGGAAAAATAGAATTTTGTGCCCCAAAAAAAGACGAAAAAAAGAGGATCTACCTATGCACGAAAACCTGTTCAATTGAATTAAACAACTTGAATAACATTAAAATCTTTCATCCATGGTGTTAAATATAAGAAGCATAGTGTTTTGCCTTTGAACAAAATCTAACAAGAATGTCCCAAGAATTAATCACAAAGGAAAGTTCAAAATTTTCCATCGGGGTCAGATGGTCATCTCCCCTAAAGAATGAGTAGATAATTATGGTCTCAGATTCTGAATCTAACAATGGGTCGTATGCTCTTTCAAATAGTCCCTCTTCCCTACGAACTGCACTTAACTATTACTAAACATAAAATCAGAATTCGCTTAGCTAAAGAAATATTAACCTAAAATATAATAGGCTATAGTTTTTTGTACAAAATGTTATAGATCATCTTTGTCACCTCTCCTAGGGGTGAGTAGATGTTTGTAGCTTAGGTTCTACTAGTTAGATACTCACGCTACGCTTCGAGCGAGATAACCGTTATATACATAGGGTTAACGATTCGTATGGTGTAATGCGAGTAGAAAGTTTTATTTTTGATGATTAATATAAATCGAATCTATATAGAGATAATTTCTAACAAAACTAATATATATATATCTTAAAAGTAAAATACTCATCTAAAAATATAAAAATAATTTATTGTATAAATTATAATAATATATTTTAAAAAATAAAACATTGACGTTCTAAAATTTTATTCCGAAATTCATATATTAAACAAATAAATTTATATCAAAAAATTAAAAAATTAATTTAATAAGAATTTTAATAAGAAATAAATAATTAAAGAAATAAATTTTAAACAATAAGAATAAAATAATCGGATATGTATGTTAATATCAATATCAAATATATAATTAATATTGGTTCGGGGACATTAAAGGGATCAGTAATATATATGTTTTCTTTCACGGTGAAGGGACCAATTATATATGATCGCTTAACTTGTACAACACTTGCTAGAGATCTAATTATGCTACGACAATATGCATATTCTTTTAATGGTTTCCTTTTGCCTCTTGGTGATCCAATCCTAAAACACATCAAGATTTAAAATAATTAGCTAATTTTTTTTTTTGTTCTATCAAGAGATTGGTGACCAAACTTTTAAAAATATAAAATGAATTCTAGGGAAAAGAAATAGAGCGAGGATCACGCCCGGTTGGTATGTGTATATATATCATACTTAACGGACTCGGAGTATATAAACTAAATAAAAAAATATAAAAAAAACTTACTTAAATTATATGGAATATGTCAAAATGAATAGATTTAAATAAAAACTACTATAAAATTAGTTTCGCTAAATTCCGATTATATATGTATATATATAACCAAATAAAACTCGTGAATATTTTTTTTTACTAATTATTAATTTTTTGGAAAAAAAACCAAGTCAAATTATTTTTTTAAGTGATTCTTATTTTTATTTTTTAAATGAAGTTAGATTATTTAAAACACACTTTTAGCTCTTTCTCTCTCATTAGAATTTATATAAGCAACAACACCATTTTCATATAAAAATCATAAAAATAATCAATCATATAAATTATAATAATATATCTTAAAAAATAAAACAATCATGTTCCAAATTTTTATTTCAAAAGTCACACACACACACACACACACACACACACACACACATATATAGTTTATTAACAAATTAAAAAATAAAGAACAAACTAAATCTCAATAGCCCAACTCGTTTAAAAAAAAAAAAAGATGCCAATCGGGAAAAAAAAAGCTACGAGTAATGGGATTGTGAAAGATACTACAACAATAGGGCTCGAAGGACCAGTTCAACGGCCCAGTGCCTTTAAGAAAAAGATAAAGAAAAAAAAAAGCAAGGCGGGGAAGGAAAAAAACAAAAGGGGGAGGGGGGTGTGGGAGACTTAGCATGAACAATCTCACCCCTAGTTCTTTTATTTTATTTTTTATAATTCTCACGTTATGCCGTGATTAGACAATCATTATATACACGGGGTTAATGATTTATATGATATGATGCGTGTATGTTTTGTTTCTAAAGATTAATGTAAATCAAATCTATATATTAAGCAAACTTATTTGATTTAGATATATTCATTATAAATATTTATAATATTAGTATATAAAATTTTTATTTGAATAATTAAGAGGTCATTTCAAAACATTAATTAAATTATTTTACTTAAAAATATAGATTTTAGAATTTGAAAAAAATAAAAAATAAAAAATTGATGTTATGTTTGCAAATATAATTAATTTCTAACAAAACTATTTATATCATACTTGATAGATTTAGAGTATATAAAATAAATAAATAAGTATAGAAAAATCCACCTAAATCGCATGGAATATATCGAAGTGAATAAATTTAAATAAAAACTATTATAAAATTGATTTCGATAAATTTTGATTATATATAAACAAATAAAACTTGTGATTTTTTAACTAATTATTAATTTTCTTAAAAAAATAGAGAAGAATTATTTTTTAACTGATTATTATTTAAAAAAAAAATCAAGTCAAATTATCTAAAATACACTTTTAGCTCTCTCTCCCATTCATCGAATTTATATATGACAAAACTATATATATATATAATCAAAATTTATCAACACTAATTTTATAATAGTTTGTATTTAAATCTATTCACTTCGATATATTCTATGTAATTTAAATGAGTTTTTAATATATTTTTTTATTTTATATACTCGAGTCTGTTAAATAATATATATATAATCAAATAAAACTTATGAATTTTTTTACTCGATTATTAATTTTTTTATTAAAAAAAAAAAAAAGAGGCGAGCCGTTAAAAGGGAAAAATGGTACAGCTATAATAAATGACAGCCTATCCCTTAAAAAAAAAAAAAAAAGGAATACAAAGCATTTTACATAATTATATATTATGAAAAATAAACAGGAAATTAGGAGACATGCTGCCTACTGCTATCTTTTTGACTGATTAAATTCATCATTTTATTATATTTTTGCTTATGGTTAAACCATAACAACAACAATAATAATAATAACAATAGCAATGCAAACTGATATGATTTATCAGAGTTAATAATAATAAAAAAAAGAAAAAGAAAAACCGATTGATAGGAATAGGTGAGCCTGCTGCAGTCCTCTCTTAAGAACAAACTTCAGACCCCAGCTTTATTAAGCTCTGGGCCTCATAAGCGTTATTGGTCTACTTAACAAAATGACAAAAACCCCAATTTGCATCCTTAAAGCCCTAATCCCCGATCTTCACCATCTCTATCTATAAATACCTCTTTTGCTGTCGTCTTCTTCACCTCCTGCTTTCTCTGGTTCTATGTAGTACGCCAGCCCCATAGTTTACAGGAAGGTACAATAAGCCTTGTTAACATTTGCTACTGCTTTATTTAGTTATTACCTGATAGAAATAGTAAAGCAAGTCAGCTTCTTGCCTGGATCTCGAAATAAAACGATCTAGGCAATTTCTTATAACAAACTTGCGATATAGATGACTCAGCCAGTATCACTCGCCTGAATCTGATGTTTCCCCTGATTTTTCAAGCCCTCTGCCTACTGGCACAACACATTTCATCTCCTCTGATTATTTTCATTTTATTTTTTAACAAACAAAGTCCGCAAATGCACTCTGTCCCTAAACAATTAAATGTTTTGAGGCAATTTTTTCGTTTGCAAATTTTTTTTTAAAAAAATGGAAAGTTTTATGACTATCACTTTCTGCAAGTCCAGCTAACTCGCCCATATGATATTTAATCCTGTCATTCACTGTGGCAGCATGTTGTTGGTACTCTTACGGAGTTGATAATTCAAAGTCTCAAAGCTCTTTCATTAGGCAAGCAAAAAGAAAAAGCAAAGGGACTAATTAATTTATCTCCCAAATAAAGAAGGACCAAGAAGCAAAAAAAAAAATATGAATAGGGGAGATGAGTCTTAAGCTTCAGGGAATGAATAGTGTGACCCTCACTTCTTTTAGTTTTTTTTGTATTATAATACATCCGACAAGGCGGTTCAACCGAATGTTCTTGTTATATATATTTCCAGAGGTGGAGATAGAATAAAACTAATTATAAGTAAATGGTGATGTTGGAGCATTGGAATTGGAGTAGGCCCTCAATAGTGTTTGGTTTGTGAAGAAATGGCTGTTAAAAAGGTCTGTTTGGGATTGCGAGTAGGGAGTGTTACCAATCACTTCCAACCTTCCACTTTGTATCTTGCACGTCATGATCTTGTTACCAAAGCACGTGTAGACCATATCCTTTTCCCTTGGGTGGAAAGCTTGTACCTGGCCCAAGAAGAAACGTTGACTTGCAGATTCCCCAATAACCAATATGTCCTGAGCTCCCAAACAGCGAAATTATAAAAACCTTAAAAAAATGAAATTTTTACTATTAATCCACATTCGTATTGCTATTTATTGATTATTCACTTAATAATTATATTATTGTATTTAATCTCATTATTGTAATTTTTCAACTTTTGTTTAGACATTTTTTTTTTTTTGCATTTGTTCATACATTTATATACAAGAAGAATGTTTACTACACTTACTATTCATCACATTTATTTTATTATTTATCTACACTTATAATCATTAATAACTTAATATTATTGTATTTATGGAATTGCTATGATTTTTGGCTTCTATTTAGTCATTTGGTATAAAATTTTTGTGATTTTTGCTTTTGTTCATTCATTCACATGTAAGTTTTGAAAAATATTATATTTTGATCTCAATTTTTTTAAAAATATTTTTTTTATTTTTAATTTTATTTATATTGTGGTTAGGTTTCTAAATATAAAGAAAAACAAAGAGAGAGAGAGAGATTCATAGATGAAAGAGATCAAAATTTTAAAATATTTTTAGATATTTTAAATACATTAAAATGAGTTTTAAAATTTCAAACAAGTTTTTTTTAGTCAACTTAAGTGATTTCGAGGTGTTCCTTGACCAAATGTAGTTGTGAAATTAGTTTCGACGGGTTGGAATGTGATCTTCCAATTTTCCAACGAGATTTTTGACAATCATATCTTCAGTGAAAGTTGTCGGCCGACGTGTCATCTTTTGCACATCGCACAAGCGACCAGTTTCTCCCCCATTTAGGGCTGGCCCATGCATGTCCATCCCGTGCATGCATAGGCTTGGTTCTACAAGCCTGAGTTACAGACCTGGCACGCGCAAGCCTTTTTTTTTTTTGGAAATTTTTTTTATTACTTAATTTTATGCAAAACATCTAACTATAAAGATTTTTTTTACATATTCGAGCATAAGAAAGAATTAATTAAGTACAAAAAATTTGATTAAAAAATGTAAAAGTTAGATGAAAAAAATTTTCTTTTGATTTCGATATATTTTGTTGTACTCACTGACATGGTGAGAACCATCAAATTATAATGATTGTTTTTTTAAAACAATAATTTCACTTACTAGCTAGAAATCAATTAATACATTATTAATACAAGTTGCCAACTTTATGATCCGCAAAACATCCTGTGCATATCCCAAGACATATACTAGTAAGGCAATTATTGATGTTACCAGCGATGAAATCGGGATCAGATCCATCAATGAAAACAATTTCATTATTAAAAGGATCATAAGCAACAACATGTGTGGTGCTGTGCCAAAGCAACTTGTTATATTACATAAAACTAAAAAAATATATATCTCTTTAAGATTTTTGAAATAAACAATATAGAACACGCAATCTATGTGATAGGAATAGAAATATTTCGTGATAGATCACAAGGGTCGAAAAGCCTACGTTAATAAAATTCTCGAGAGGTTTAAATAAAAGAAAGTACTCAACAAACAGAGGTAGTTTCAATTCATAAGGGAAATAAATTTAACCTTAAGCAATGTTCAAAAAAGGAATTGAAACGAGAGCAAATGAAAAATAGTCTTTATGCATCTATTGTTAAGAGTTTAATGTGCACTCGAAAAGCTATAAAGAAAGTTCTCAAATACTCACTTATAACGAGCCAATCATCTTATGGTGATTGGATATTTAAATTCAGATTCTCGTTAGATATGTCGATTAAAAAAAATTACACAATTAGCTACATGTTTTTGTTAGCTAGAGAAACAATTTTATGAAAGAATGCGAATCAATATGTCATTTATGCATCCACCGTGAAAGTTAAGTTTATGGCATGTTTTGAGGCCATCATTCAAAAATTATGGTTGTGGAATTTTATTTCAAGACTTGAGGTTGTCAACAATATTGTTGGGTCGTTAAAAATTTATTGTGATAACTCCGTAGTAGTTTTCTTCTCTAAAAATGGCAAGGATTCTAAGAGTGCTAAACATATAAAAATCAAATACTTTGTTGTTAAAGAAGAAATTCGGACACAAAAAGTGTCAATTGAGCTCATTAGCATCAACCTTATGCTTGCAAATCCTTTAACAAAAGTATTAACATCTAAAATATTTAATGAACAAATTGAAAGAATGGGGATTTTTTATGTTATTAGTGATATCGTATTATATTTTTATTAAGTTTACATATTTGATAGTCTAAACTCACTTGTATGCTTGACATATTTTATGTTTTCTATTTGATATACATAATTGCTTTAGAAAAATATTGACGAAAATAGTCTTATAATAAAAACATTACAATGATCATTAGTTTTAAGCATTATATTCTTCTTATTAAATCATAAATGCAATATCATATGAGACAAGTGGGAGAATGTAAAATTAATTATGGTTCACATGATACATGATACATGCATTTAAAATCTAAAATTAATTTTGATTCATAATATTTAAAATGTATTTAATTAATTAAGATATATGCATTGGTGATAATACATGTACATTTAAAGTATATATAATTAATTAAGATACAAGTCTTAATTATGATAGATAATAATATAAGCAATTAATTATGATGCATGATCAAATTTTGATAGGAGACCTAGGTGCTATTTGGTAATGAAGAATGAAGCACCTCGAATGAGAATTCACACTTCATTCCTTAATGTAGGAGTGTTTGGTAACTTGAAATGATATGAGAATGAATAGGGAATGAGAATGAATTTTTTCGAGATTTTACTACTATTTAAAGAGGTGGGTTTTGAGGGGGAATGAATATGTGGAAATGAAAAAAAAAAGCACTAATTTTTTTTGGTCTAAAAAATATCCCTAGGTTTTAAACAATACTACATTTATACCATTATAAATACTACTATCTTTTTTTTTTTTTTTTCCTTTAATCATATCCAATTAGCCATCAAACCCACAATCTTATCTCTCTCGCTCATCTCTCTCACTCAAACAGTAAACCTACATTGATACCTAAGTACGTTTCATAGTATAACTAAAAATTGGATAGAGCTAAAGATTGGCGAGGTCATTTTATAGTGCTTTTGTGGTTGAAGTTAGTGAATTTTCTACAAATATAGAATTGAATTGTGGGCAATATAAGTAGGTTTTGAGGGATAATCTAGCTAGAAAAATGTAGGATTCACGAATAGTTAGAAGATAAAGTGAATAATATTCATAGTTTTTTTTTATATGGAGATTTTATTTAATTTGATTTTTTTAAGTATGCATTCGTCTACTAATATATTAACGATTATATTTGTTGATTGGTGGTATAGATATTGTTTATTTCAAATATGGTGTGGACAATATGTAATTGTTTTGCATATATATTGGATGTCGGGAATGCGCCTTGCGCAAATGCATTTTGAAAGAAAGGTTGCCTTTGTGCAACATCGAAAGGGTCCTAATGTAGGCAAGGGAACAAAATCCCGAGTACTCGGTCTTACGAAGAGCAGTCAACTCATCTTGCATTGCAGTTATCCAACTAGAATCAGTACATGCTTCCTTATATGACCGAGTCTCATAAAAGGAGTGAATAGAAGGTCTCTTCTTCCTCTCCCTCACTCACATTCTTATTCCCACCCGACTCGATGAGTAAAATAGATATCTCTCGACTTCTTATGTAATTTTTTTTATTAGTTAGGTGGAAAATTCAGAAATAGAGCAAGTTAATTTATAGCGTGGACCTACTCGAGGAAGGGGTAGGAATAAAAGAAACCCAAATAACTAAGAAGAATTGGTGTTAGTTGATATCCTTTTGGAATTAGATGACACCAGTTGAAAAGTGGATACTCGGTTATAAAAATGGATATTACACTCATGTTGAAAAGTTTATGGAAGAAAAACTACTAGGATGTGGTATTAAAGGCAAACAGCATGGCGAATCAAATATTAAGATATTGAAAAAGCAACTTGGTTATATATTGGAGATTTTTTTAAAAAAAATGCTAGTGGATTTAGAAGGGGTGATGATAAAAAAATGATGATAAGAGATAAATCGATCTTTGCGGGATGGACAATGGTAAAGTTTTTTTTTTCTTTTTACAATTAATCACTCATGCAATGGATTACTTTATTTCAAATTATTATTAAATATTAATTTTTTTATTCAATTTATGAATACAATCTTATTGTGTAGAGTCGTGATGGAGCATTAGCATTATATAGGAAGTCGTTTGTCCATTTTAATAAATTATGTGAAATATATGCAAAAGATAATGCTACTAGAGACAAAGCTCGAGGTCTTGGAGAAGAAGAAATTACGGAGAACAACCAAACTAACAACAATATGGATGATGAAGATGCAAATGAGGCGCATTCAAACTCAACAGAGGTAGCTTCTATAAGTCAAGATGCAACTCATTCATCCGAAGTCTGAAAAAACAAAGTATAAAAGAAAATTTGGAGCAACTAATCCTTTACAAGCAAAGTTTATGGAGCTATCGAAGTCTATCAAAAATTTAGTTGAAGCCAAGAAGGAATCGACATCTGCTATTAGTGAAAAAAGAAGCAAAGTGTTTGAAAACTTCAACAAAGCTTGAAGTTCTTTCTCTAGCTGAATTAGTTAAATCAATAAGTATTATTGATTATGATGATAAGAAAGTTAAAGTGTTTTTAAGTATCCCTTATGATTACAAGGTCATGTTTGCACGAGTCAAGATTGGGTCTATTAATTAAAATTTAAAATTAGTAGGAATGGAGCAATTGAACCTTTACAAGTAGAGTTTATGGAACTATCAAAGTCTATCGAAAGTTCGAGTTGAAGCCGATAAGGAATCAACATCTGCTATGAGTGAAAAAAGAAGCAAAGTGTTTGAAAACTTCAACGAACCTTAAAGGGCTTTCTCCAGCGAGAATTAGTTAAAGCAATAAGTATTATTGATCAAGATGATAAGAAAGTTAAAGTGTTTTTTAGTATCCCGTATGATTACAAGGTCATGTTTGCACAAGTTGAGATTGGGTTTATTAATTAAAATTTAAAATTTAAAATTAGTAGTAGTTGAATTTAAAATTTTATAGTTGTTTTTGTGATTTTTTAATAGTTTAGGAACTATTCGGTAAGTATCATTGTATGATGATATTTTTGAATTTTTTGGATTTTTTAAAGTTGTTTTTACAATTAGTAGTAGTCAAAACCAAACAATTGATTGCATTATTGAGACTTTATTATCAATATCCACTTTGGATCAATATGTTGGACCCAAAAACAAACATAAAACGATTGTCTTTCATGCTTGGAAAGTGTCTCGGGGTTGAAATGAAAAAGCTTAAGAAAAATTTGACATGCTTTTTTGGCTAGGTGTTGTTGCTAATGTGGTTGTTTTTGGTTTGCATAGTACGACATCTAATGATGGTTACATGAAGTACAACATGGGATGTAAAATTGTGCCAAGAAAGTTGAATATTCTATAAGACATAACTAAATAGCATCCCATCAAGTAGGTAAATTATAATTTTTAAGAAAAAATCACTAATAATTTGTAGGAAAATAATATATATAATGCAAACAAAAATATACTATCTAAAGATCGATTAGGAAAATATAATAATATAGTCCGAAGATTTATTGTTAAAAATTCAATCTATGAGGAAAACAATATATATATATATATATATAAAAAAAAACAAGTAGCTTATTCTTAAAGAATAATAAAAAAATCTTCATATATTTTTTTAATTTTAATTGCTTTTATGATAAAATTTATTATGGATATTGAAGAATACGAGTGATAAATATATGATATCATTCCGATTTTTATTTATCCGTATCAAATACAATAATTGCTATTTCAATTTTCAATAGTAAAATACCAAACATAACAATTGGATTTGGATTGTCATTCCGATTTCCCGATTCTTATTTCGATTCCTTTATTCTCATTTCGGATATTTCATTCTTGATTATAAAACGGTACCTTAAGGTTATAAAAGGAGGAGTCTAATTCTCTTTCTATTTCATGAGAAAAAAATGACAAAACTGAAGAAAAAAAAAAAGATGTCCATCATTAAGAAAGAGATCAAGAGAGAAAAATTATTTTTCGTCTATCATATGCTTCTCAATATTGATTCAAATGTCTACATATAAATCGAAATAATTTTTTCTTTAATTATATGAAAATCATGAAGTTCTAATATTTATAAATATGATGAATAATGTTTTATTATTCCAAATAATTATAATTTTATTTTTCATACAAGGCATGACATGGTGTGAAGTGAAGCGATTAGGATTTATCAAATCCTAAGTTAAAATTTCAGTACCTTCAAATAGTCATGAAATTTCCAAATCTCTTGTGAATTAGGTGTGGATCTCTAATATATAGGGTAGTTAAAAAAAATAAATAAATAAATAAAAATAAAAAATCTGCTACCAAATACAGATAGAGTGTAGCTGACAGTCATATCTTCGCTCTGCAATATTGAGATTCTAAAATTCAAATCCCAGTCAACAAACATTATTCTAAGTTTGCCCCCACAATAGATCAAGTCAATTCAGCTTAACAAAAATATTTTCAAGTCAGCAAACCAATGATTGTAATCGGTAATTTTTTTTTCTCTGGCATATTGTTAATTATGTCGTCTACACCAAAATTACAAAATTCCTAAAAATTTATTTTCATCTGACATTTAAACTCTATAACCTAAAAAAACAAAACACATGATCTTAATTATCAGCACCTCAAGAACATGTTGACCTTTGCATTGGCCTTATTATGACTTGGTAAAAAATAAAAATTCCGTTTGTTGTATAAAATTGACCCATCCGCGGTTGACTAATTAGTTGATTCAATGTAAAGACAGTGAAAAGGGCCCTTTTCTTCTTAACAAAGTGACAAGGTCGTGTTTGGTGGGTGGCCTCTTAGCAAGAAAAATCTAGCAAATTCACTTCCCACCACCATCTTTTTTCTTTTTCCTTTTTCACAAAACTAGCTCAAGCTCAAGCCAGTTGATGGACTCTCACGGACAAAAATATTACCCGAGTCTACAGCGACAGCTTGATGCCATCCATAGCTATATGGTGACCAGTGACAAACAAAGGCCTACAAATGGATCCTTCCTTCCTGTGTTTGTGTGTTCATAGTGAGTAGAGCTCAATTAAGTTTTGTACTCGAATGATTTACAACGCATTGAATGAAGCAATAAGAAACTCTGCTAGGAAAACTCTTCAATGAAAACGAGTGTCAAAATGAGGACCAAAGTAGTTTCTGTACAAAGCAGTCCATGACAATGCGAGGGCATGAAGCACCAGATGCAACATGAAAAGACATTCCAAGACGGACAAAAACTTAAGCCCAGACTGCTTATTCCAAGACAGAATAGTGAGAAATTCAACAACGATTGTGGCCTCATTGATCCACAAAAATGATAATCTGTCACAAAGGTACGTGCACATAATATTGTTCGATAAACTTAAATTCCACAATGGCTGAGTTATCAATCAAATGTTACTGCACGTTGTTAATCCTTCGACACATAAAATCACTAAAGACAAACAAAAATTCCATATTCCATGTAATTGTAGTAAGACAGTGCAAAAAATGACAGGAAAAACTCCGAAAGAGTACAAGGCCTGGTGTCACTCCAGATTCTACTTGATGTATTGAGACATCCACTTAAAGCCATCGCCATATCCCATCTTGCGGACAATACTGCACATGAAAACCTCCAGGGGACGGATATTGGAGTCCGCAAGATTCACCTTTCCCTTTTTGCCAGTGGTGAAATTGTTGAGCCCAAGATGAAAACGAAGCTCATCTTCTGAAGCCGCATAGGGAATGTCAATCTTGTTTCCTAGAATCAGAAACGGGACATTAGCCAAGGATTCATCTGAAAGGAGGGCATCCAGTTCCTTCTTTGACTCAGCAAACCTCTCCTTGTCATAGGCATCCACTAGGTAAACCACGGCATCTACCTGTCCATGGAGATAAACATTGTTTGGTTTATACTATAAGATCATATCATTTAGACATTCCAAAAATAGTCTGCGAAAGAAGCATAGATTCTTCACAAGAATTGAGAAAGTTTACAGAATATCCACTACTTGTGTTAGAAATTTAAACACATGGAGAAACAATGAATACAGCATAATTGCAGGAATCAGTACCAACTGGTGCCTTATATGAGAATTACAGAATTATTGGGTGCAGAAAATAACTTGGGTTTTAAATTCAATCAAAACAAGTTAACGAGCTCAACACCTTTTTCATTATTCAGTTTAACTTCTAAGTGAGAGACTCTACGAGGTCAATTTCATAAAGCACTAGCATAAATGCATTAATTGGAAAGCCTCTAGTGGAACACCTCCTAAAAACAAAAAGGTGCTATCAGCAAAGCTTCCAATATTGATGTTGGCCTCCCATGAATCAGATGAACACAAGAAAAGTTTAGCTGGGATTATGAAGGCACAACACGTTAGTGAACAGGGAAATCAGGTCATCTTTTCACATAGCAAAGTCAACCAGCTGAAACAAGGTTGCAAAAACCAGTTTGCCAAAGATACAAAGATGGTTTTAATCTGTAACTCTAGGGCAAAGCATACATATGCCATCACAGCAAACAAGAAAATGAAGAAAACAATTAGGATTTCCAGCAATTCAGCCACAACCAGATCCACCATCATACACCAATGACGAGCAAGACTGGAAAAGAAGGCAACTGCATAGTACAATTGCCTTCATTCCAAATCAAGATTCATGTAACATGACAACGCATTGCATAATTAGAAGAAGCAAATCAGCAATTCTAATCGCACCCTTTTAAAACGCAAATCATACCACAGTTACAAGTCATCATCAGCATGAAATGAACAAAGTGAGTTGCAAAAATAACAGATTCAAAGTACCCTCCAATCAACAAGCACCATTTATTTATTTATTTCCATCTATTTGACCGACACCAGAACTTATTCTTACGTATTGGATATAAAAACTTCAAAAAATCAAAGGCCCAGAATTCGATTCAACGAGAAAGTTGAAGAAACATATAATCATAAACAAATCAGAACAAGAACCAATAGCATCAAATCAAGAAAAACAAAAAGCAACCTTGGCATAGTAATCTTTCCAAACACGACGAGCGATCTGGTGACCACCCAAATCAAAAGCCTTGAACTTGATTTTTCCAATACTCAATTCCTCTGATGTTGGATGCTGGGTAGGTTGATGTTGCACTAATCTCTATAAAACAACAGATCCCAGATTCAATAAACCAAACCAAACAAAACATAAAAACATATATTAATTAATAAAGATGCAAACTTTATATCAAGAAACAATGAAACCAATACCTCATCTTTTAACATGTGGAGAAGGGTTGTCTTGCCAGCATTATCAAGACCCAAGAAAAGAATCTTGGCTTCTTTTTGCCACAAACCAAGAGATGCAAGAACTCCATAGAACCAATCTAAAAGAAACATCTTTCTTCCTTTGTTGATTCTTGATTCTTGATGCGGTTGTTCGGAATGAGAACCAAAGAGAGTAATAATGGTGATAATAATAATAACAATGTGTGTGTATTGGAGAGGGAGATCTAATAATAATAATAAAGAGGGCTGGCTATCTATAGCTAGGGACCAGAAAGAATGGGGGTTGAAAAATTAATAACTGAGAGTAGTAATGACAACGAAAATCAAAAAATTATGCATTCAACCTGTCTCTGTATTTTATATCAGTCAATTTCTTTTTCTTTCTTTAGCGTTTTCCATTAGCCTTTTAACTTTGCTCAGCGTTACAACTCACCATGGCTGGCTATCTTTGGCTTGGCTTGGCTCGACCCAAGGGTTACGTGAGGTAAAGAAATTATGACTGTGTTTATTAACAGAAAAACAAGTTTCATAGGAAAATTAATTCACGAGGAAGTTATGTTTTAGAAAATTATTTTTTAAAAACATATTTTTTACTATTTAATAATTACATAAAAAAATTATTAAAAAATATATTCTGGTATTTGTTTGATGCAAAAAATTAAAATACAAAAAGATATGTGATTGTTATATCAACAAGTTTTGAGAAAACTTTAAAAAGATATATTCATAATTTTATAATGTAAGATAAATTTAAAAAAATTAATAAATTTTCATAAATACTAACTCTAAAATTATAATTAAAAAATAAAATTTACTTTTTTAACCATCGAACCACTTCATCAAAATTACTTGGGACAAAATCAAGTCAATATTTACATTTAGTAAAAAAAGATTTTAAGTAATCCTAGCATTGTTATTTTAATAACTCAATTAAGAATTTTTTTAAGAAATTGAACCAATAATTTAGTCTGAAAAATAGTTTTATAAATTATCATTCATCATTTATAGATAATTATTCATTTAGTCTCAAAAGATTAATGTTGGAATAATTTGTAATTAATTATTCACTACAATTACCAACAAAATTTTACAATTGATTAAAATTACAAATTATTGATTTAATTATGAATGAATAGTGTTGGAAAAATAATGTATTCATTAATGAATTAATTAATTTTATTTTTTTTACAAAAAAATTATAGTCGTATAATAATTATTTCTAATTATTTAAGTATAGTTTTGGTGGTGTTTGAGATAATAGTAAAAAAATAAAGATAACTTATTAAAATATTTATTATAAAAATAATTTTAAGGTGTAAAAAAGGTTTTTAAGAATATTTAATGTATCCGTAAATCAAAAAATCAAATATCAGCAAAAATAGAGAAAAAATTAAATAATTACTAATAATTGATAAGAAATAATTAAAAATTAATCTGATATATTTTAAATAAAAAAAGATAGAGAAAAAATTGTTAAAATATATTGAGAGAGAGGTATGTAACGTGAGAGCGAGACAACTCGTGAGAAGAAAAATGTTTTTCTCTTTTAAAATTAGGAAAAATTTTTCTTAAAAATACTTTATCATTTTCGTTGACTCGAAAATCATTTTCTATTAACTTTTTTCTTAAATGTCAAAAAAACACTGAAAAATAGTAAAAACAAGTTCTTGGAATTTGGAACTTGTTTTATCCCAAACAAACATAGCCTATGCGTTTTGACCGTCTTGGGTTCGATTTAAACGGGGATAACGAGTGAATCAGGTTGGACTTGGATTTTATTCCATTCATATGCCATCCAAAAATCTAAATCGGTCTTTAATTTTAACCCGACTAGATCGTATAGAATAGAGATTTTTTTTTTTTTACCATTAGATATCTAATTTGTTTTTTAATAATTTTTTATAGAAATAAAATCTAAACTCAAAAAAAAAAAAAGAAGAAGAAGAAGAAGAAAAAAAAGAAGAGAAAATTTTAACTTCATCCATAATTCATAAAGTCATAAAATAAAGTCTAAATCTATGCATAAATTCATAAAAATATTTCTTTAATTATAAGATATAAATTCATGCATTATAAATATATAAAAAAATTATAACTTTACTAAATTAAAAATTAAAAAACGTAAAAAATCGGGTTAGGTAATGGAACGGATTAACTCTTTGCTGGCTTTCAGAATTGACTCTAATCAAATTAGATTTAATTTTACCTCTTTCTATTTTTATTTCGATCAAACTAGATAAAAATTTAATTCCACCATTACATTGAATATCCAATTGATTGGCTGAATTAGGATCTCTGTAAACAGATTTGTTCCTCATAATGGACTCATTCATTTGAAATAAATATTTGTCCAAAACTTGATCATAACCATTTAAATACCCATTAAAAAGGACATGAAGCGTTCTATTTTTATTTTTATTTTTTACTAAATTGTAAGATACCAACAAAATACCCCATTGAACTAAAAAGATCTCTCATTTTACCTCCACGTGCAATATGATTTTTTAAATGTTGTCCCTTTTATTAGGGTATTGCTGGGAAATTAATGGAAAAACCCCATAAAAAATAATCTTAATTTCTATTATTTTCTATGTAAGTTTAGAAAATGGTGTTTACAGACAGAGAAAATTGAGGACTTGAAATGATTTTTAAGGGTTTTTCATCGATTTTTAAATAAATCAAAGTAGAAGAGATAAAATCAAAAGTCATGTTGTTTAGGAAGTAAAATTATAAACTTTTTAATTAAGAAGAATATTTGTTTTTTTGTTCAAATTCGAAAGGTATTTTACAATTTATTCCTTATTTCTTTTTTTCCTATGGGTTTGTTTCCAATGTAATTGTTTCTATGCTGTAGACGATGGTGTGGTTGGGATTGATGATTTTGTTGCTATGTTAGCAAAAGTGTATGATTAGAATCTAAGTTCCATGTTCTTCTATTTGTTTATTTTGTGGTGAAAAACAAGCAATTGAAGAGTATTCGCTTGATTCCCTTGTTCTTTTTTTTTTTTTTTTTTCACTTTCTTGGAGTACTAATTAGACTTTCATTGCTTCTTGAAATATACTTGCTGGTTACTTGTAGTATGTTGAGAATCGATCATAACAAAATTATTTAAAAATTTTATAACATTTTCATTGTATATTTATCTAATTAATTTGATCTTATGTTTTTCATAATTTTTTTACTGAAAAAAACATGATTTTTTCTTCTTTATACATTGATTCTCAAATAAAAATGTTTAATCATTTAAACTGGAATATCAATCAAAAATAAAAACAAAATACTTTAAAAATATATTTTTCATAAGAATGCATTAAAAAATAAATTTACGGTTAACGTATAGATTTGTATAAAAAATAACTAATAAAAAAATTATTTTCATTTAACGTTGATGAGAAGATTTTTTTTAAAAAAAAGTATATGCATTTGGTCTATATATATTTATTTACAAAATAATCAATAATGTACGAATAAAAAATTTATATTTGAATAATTGGTTGGTTTCTTTAAAATATTATTTTAATTATTTTATTTCAAAGAAATTGGTTCAATAATATTAAAAAAAATCATACCAAATAGTTGGTATTGTGTGTGAAGATGTATAATTAATTTTGAATAAAACTCGACAATTCAATAGTTTTTTTTTTAATACGTCTTGATTATACCTAATAGATCGAGACAAATTATTTAAAATATATTTTTAACCTTTTAGATTAAAATAATTATATATTTATATGTATATGCACCTATCATTTAAAAATTCTAATTAAAAAAATAGCCATGTTTTAAATTTAAATTTAGAGAAAAATTAATCATATTTGTCAGAAAAAAAATTTGTATAAAAAATAATTTGATCAGATTTTTCATAAAAAATGAAAAATTCAAAGAATAAATTTTAGATAGCAAAAGTAATATGATCTGAAATGTAAAAGACAGTGTGTGTGTATTATCATAACGTTCCATGTTTCATAGTTTTTGCCTAAAAAATCTTAATTAAAAAAAAGGAAAAGAAAAAAGAAAAAAAAAGCAAGGACCCTCCCCAAAGCATGGGCCTAGAGCAACAGGCCTGCGCGCCTGGGACTAGGCAGAAAACAAAATAAAAATTGATCGTTTGTTTTTCCAATGATTGCTGCAATTTTTGGTGAGTCTGTGCTTGCTAGAAAATCGTCAGAAAGTCAAGTTTCTCAATCTTCGGCCTCTCAAAATCAATTTTAACTCTGTTTTTGTGTAAAAAAAATCTCAAAATCAAAGAAATAATGTCAAAAAAACTTGTTTAGAATCTTAAAACTCATGATAAAACATAAAAAATGAAATCAAAATAAATAAAAAAACTCAAAATATTTTTGAATCGTAATCTATCTTGTCCGACCATTCCATCGCTTGTCATCGCCACAAACGGATTCTACTATTCGAGACGAATAAAGTGATGGTAAACTCAACAATCAAGATGGTCGGAAAAGGTTTTATGAGCGCTTTCTCTTTCCTCCCATCTCTCTCCTCCTCTTTCCTCCCATCTCTCTCCTCTTAGCATGCATAACCAAAATGAAACAAAAATGAATTTGTATATCAAAAAAATAACATTTTTAAAAGAGTGACCAAAATATAATATCATAGTAACTTTCATAATAAATGCTTTAAGAAAAATTTGCAAATTACAACAATGTCATAGTATGATAAAAAAATATAGTGCAATGAATCTTGATCAATAGTGATAATGAGTTTTGGTGAATAATGACAACGGGTTTTGATGAATAGTATTTGAAAAAGTAAAATAAATAATAAATAATGGTTTTGGTTTTTCTTTTAAAAAAAATATCGAAATTCTCTTCTAAAATGAGACATCAAAAAACCGCTTTACGGTATTGGTTTTCACCATGCATCTATGTAAAAAATGAAAAACATAACTATGGTCCCTAATTATTCTTAACGATATTCATAATGATTTTAGGTATTAAGAAATTATATATTTTCTCAGTAAAGTTGTATAAATTATCATGCAAACTTTCTAAAAAATCTAACAAAATATCCACTGAAATTACTAAAAATATGAAGTCCAAATAAAATACCCTTCATGAGTATAAATTTATTTATATGATAATAAGCAAATTTTTAGTGTAAAATAAAATATGTATAGCATAATTTTTTTAAAATTTTTTTTGTTAGTGTGGACCCAACACTAACTAAATTCTTAACTTAACTAAAATTTATAACAATATCTTTTTATAAAATTAAAATAAATAAATTATAGTAAACACTTTTGAGGTATTATAAAATTTTAAATACCATTTAAAATTTTATACTTAAAACTCGCTAACTATCATGGCTATAAATTTAAACCCATTTACATAAAAAAAATATTTTATCTTTTTTATTTATTTTTTATTTTTAGAGAGAATAACAAGATATATCTTTATTTTTTTATTTTTCAAAATTCATTTATTTTGAAAAAAATAAGATTAAGACAAAAAAATATAGAGTAGATGACTGAGATTAAAAAAATATATATATTTAACACTTTTAGTTCAAAAGTTAAATGTAAAGATTAAGCTAAAAATTAAATGCAAAGAGATAAACTAAAAAAAAAAAAAGCGAGAGAAACACAACAAAACAAAATAAAAAAGTGAAGGGACCGCAACCATTAACCCCTCAATAAAAATATCCAATGAGGTATATCGAAGGGAGAAAGTAGCTGAATTGGCCGGGTTTGAGCCCACTACAGAAGCCCATATTTAAAGACCTTACAACCGAAAAGCCCACAAGCATGGCCGTCTTAGGGCGTTTTTTCTGTGACCATCGATTTATATAAAGCCAGCAGAGAATTAGGGTTTGGCCTTACTGCCTCTCATTGCAACATAGTCGCATCCATTCTTCGCTCTCAGGTCTGCACTTCCATTTTGCTATCGACACCCTCCTTTTGTTATATACCAAGATCAGGTTGCCTTTGTGTGATTATTGACTGTGTCTTTTTTGGGTTGCAGAGATGGCCAAGTCAAAGAATCACACAGCACACAACCAGTCCTATAAAGCTCACAAGAATGGCATCAAGAAACCCAAAAGGCATCGCCACACCTCCACCAAAGGGGTACTTTTCCTTTCTTTTTTGTGATTCTGTTTTGTTTTGTTTATTTAAGCTCTGTAGGATTGATTTGCTAATGGGTCTTTTGTGTTTGTAGATGGACCCCAAGTTTTTGAGGAACCAGAGGTATGCAAGGAAGCATAACAAGAAGAGTGGTGAGACAGCCACCGATGAAGAGTAGAATCCTTTCCTTCTAAATGGGCACTATGTTACCATTAGAGTTTAGTGCTCTGTGTTTACTTATTCTGGGTTTTGTTTTCTGGTAGTTTGCTGTACTGTCAAACCAGATATTTTGATTTTGGATCCTTGATACTGATGTTTGTTTAAGATTTTTAAAGCCTTGGATTATCGTAATTATGGTACGAGTATGTTCTTGTTTCTATGTTTAACTGTTTTTTGACTGCTTGTTTGGTATGGAGTAGCTGGATTTCTTAAGGATATTGATGTTTAGTTGATAAATCAGTTGATTTACATTGCTATATGCGTTGTGTTATTGTTTGATAAGTTCTGTGTGCTTAAGCAAGAGCGAAGCTGTTGGTATTTGTATAGCCTTGGTAGATTTACTTTGATTATAATTATCGTACATCAGTCCTTTTGATATAAGGTGGTAGTATGCTTTTCCCATTTAACATTCAATTCATCAGCTAGTAGCGTGGTTTTCCCATTTAGTAGCAATGTGGTTCTTTTTTATAGAAGTTGATGATTTATAGTCAGTTGTTAGCAGCCAGATTATTTAGTTTGGAAATTGCTTTTGAGTCCACAAGTCTGGAGTGTTCTCTGTTCTGAGACCAAGCAATAAGAAGCTGAATGATAGTTAATAGTTTGATTGTGGGTTTTGCCTGCGGTGGCATAGTGATCTTCAGTGTCTCTAACTTAGGCAATGGTGGTATTTGTCATGATGGTGGCCAATTAGCCAATCACATATTAGCCTTGTGGCTGTTTCTTTATGTGAATGGTCAGTAAGCTCACCGAAAGCAGCTCTGTTAGTGGCATTTGATAGGGAACTGGAACTGTGGTTTCACTTTCATGTCATTGACTACATATCATTAATCATAAAATGTTCATTTCATTTTTTTTTTTTTGTATTTTATGTTTTCTTCCTGCAAGCTTGGTTCCAGTTCTTCCATTTTTATTAAAAAAGAAAGCTTTTTCTTTTTTTTTTCTTTCATTTGTCTGACTGAGATGGAGAGATGAAAGGAATTGTGTTTCAAGTTTCGTTCAGATTTGCTGTGTGTGGCAAAAAGTCAGTCTTTAGTTTAGCTTCATTAATATTTGCTGTTTGTAGTTGCTTCTATAACAGATGTAGCAATGCTGTAGTTTAGGAGAAGATATAAACTTCAAAACAAGCATATGGGGCCTTGTATGTTTTTAGTTACCTCTGTAACATTTGTAGAAATCTTGGTCTCATTTTATGCAAGGGAGTGAGCGGCACTCCTGGTTTACCTATTATAGCTACACCACACATGGTGATGATTTAGCAGTTTGTAATTTTGTTGGTGCATGGGCTTATGCTTCTTAAAAGTGTAGTCGTCCTAATATGGGTTGCAGACTAGACGATGCTTCAAGTTATTGGGTGTCTAAACAAGTAGGCAAATGATCCAACATGTAATGACGCCTTACTGAGTGATTCCAATCAGCCCAAGAATCCGCAAACATTGCATTACTGAGCCAAACAAGTAGGCAAATTATTGTACATGTCGTGGGCAATCTAGCAGTTTTGGTGAAGAGAGTGGCACCTTAGTGATTCCAATCAGCCCAAGAAACCACAAACCTTGCGGTACTGAATTTTAGAACAAACCATTCTTCTTATCTATTTTTGAGTTAATCACGAGTCATTATATAATTGGATGAAAGAACTGATTTGATAGTTAATCTCGAGTCATTATATAATTGGATGAAAGAACTGATTTGATCCAATGTTCAGTGGTGAAGATTTTGCTTTTTACTGTCGCTGAATTAAAATATATACTAAATTATACAAGAGCATGGGGTGAATTTCTCTCCTTTATCATTCAATGACGAGAGAATCATGGATGGTGATGCTGTCGCGAAAAGCAAGTTTTGAAGGAGGCGGCTCCTTCGTGTGGACTTCCCGTGAGAGCAACTCTTCAGCATCTACGCAAACCAAGACTCCAGCGACTATGAGAGAAGCAAACGGGTGTTTGAGAGGAGAAAGCGCTACCATCTAAATCTTTTTAATTTGTTATTAATGTCAAAAATGGTTTAGTCATTACATGAGAAAAAGCTGTGCCAATGCACACGCTCATAATACAAACGTTTCTAGTGGGTCTGCTTCCTTTGATATTTGTGAGATCTTTTAATCTAGCTACCATGTGCAGAGAGCAAGAGCAAGTAGAAAACATGGATACCACAAGGGCTCTTGCAAGCAGAGAGAGAGTTTCAAAATGGTGATAATTATCAACTCTGGCATTTTTAATGGAGTAGATTATAAACTGTCGAATACATTAGAAACAAAACAAGTTTCCAAATGGAAATAATATACGAACTTGTGTATCTTTATAACGCAACGATTGATCCAATAAAACAACGGAACAACTTATAAAAGATTTCAGGCTGTATCAGTTGGCCTCTTAATGATGTTTCTTCTGACAGTGTAATAAATTCGTTGATTTTTTCTCTAGCCTGGGTACACCCCCTTTAAAATCCCTAATACAAGCGAAATTCTTCAAAATTTTGTCTACCTCCACAGTTGAGATGCTTAGACGGCCACTGGTTCACTTACTGAGCCTGGAGCATGAGCTTTAACCTGCCCCATAAATTAAGAACTTCTGTCACTAGGTTGAAGGTGGATGATGCTCTCTTCAGCTTAACAAATACATGCAACCACCAATTGTGGGTGAACATGTATCAGGATGGGGTTATTAGACAGCCGTTTGCTGAAAAAGTTGACATACTAACTGCAAGCAATATGTTGCAAAGAAATAGAGGTGGAAACTATTTCTCATGGATCACCTATTTGTGTCAGTACGCACAATTTTTCTTCAGTACATTTTAAATTCAAAGATAAGTTGCATGAAATATGAGCATAACTGTATTATCTCAAATTTGTAATCATAACAATGCATGTGGCTCTTCTTAAATTTGATTAACCATATAGCATGGAAACTCAAACAAATGGGATGATTATGGCCATGCTCAGTTTGTGCAGGCGGTCATGGAGGTGTGTACATTTTCTTTTATGGTGTCGTAAGATGTTAGAAGTATGGGTTCATTCAGAAGCTCACCTTAGCTGATTTGAAAAGTTCGTCAAGCACTTCTGATAGAGTTGGGTGTGCATGAACTGCAAATTTTATGTCCTGCATTGTGCCAAATATAGTTAGTTACCAAATGTTATATGCTTACACTTGTTCTTTTTAAAGAAGCAGAGTTAGAATGGTTGCATGTGTATAACTGAGCTCCGAAGAAGCATTTTCAAGACAGAAAGAGTTGCAGCCTGATAATAATTTTCTAACTTCTAATGAATCAGTTAATTATAAAGGGCATGTCACACCATAAATAGAGATGCACAAGCATACCTGAATACTAGTGCCCAAAGCTATAGCATTGGATGCTTCATGGATGAGATCTGCAGCATGCAACCCTAAAATATGCACTCCAAGTATCTCTCCATTGTCAGGTCTGTAAATCAACTGCAAGAAAGTAAAAAGAGTACAAATTATGGAAGTTAGTGAGATTAGATTAGTCAACAGAGAAATAAAAACTGAAAGAACTCGCAAGTAAGCATGCGAAAAATAAAACAATAACATTTAAAGAAAAATTTATTGGATTCAGAACAACAGTGGCAGGCTCTGAAACCATGTTATAGCATCCAATCCAAAAATAAAGATGTTGGTGGGGCAGCTGATACAATAATTGAATCCACACGAAAATTCATAAACCTAAGTGCAATCAATATCAGTTACTCAATAGGAGATTGCTAGAAACATACATTAGTGCTTCAGTTTATCGCAAGCATCATATTCTTAAGTATATGCAACAACAAAACAGCTAAAAGGCCAGAAGAGATCTTGAGCAATTCCTAAAATAAACTTTTCTTCATGGTGATACATAATAACAGCTAGAGAAGAGGAAAATCAAGCCAACAATTGAAGGAATAAATAACTAAGGTCCACAGAAATTGCAAGTTGTTAGTGACTTATATTATTTAATGTTGCCACATTACATTGAGACACTGCTGATGAACTCAACTACTTTGTACATTACTCTCGGGTTGGCCAAATTTTAGGTCACAAAATCTGCATTTTGTCTCCATCCACAAGACGCAGCTCTTGTTTTAGACCACTATTAATAAGTGTGAATTTAGCAGTCCTTAAGCAACAAATAAACATGTTAACAGTAGCAAAGAATTACTACAATTCTTGCTGTTCCAGCAACAACTAAGCAAGTTATGCATGAAAGACAATGAACTTTAAACTTCATGAAGCTCATAACCTATGCAAGAGATCATATTAGATCCAACAGGCATAACAAACTAGTCAATAGTTCAGGTATCATAAGAGTAGCTTTGGTAAGAATCCGTAGCTATCCACTGAGACAGGATAACATCATGTTTGCACAGGAACATGGAGGAAAGAGAACAGTTACGAAATCTAACCTTAGCTAACCCCTCTCCTTCATTTTCTGCCAAGGCCTTGGTGTTGGCCTTGAAACTTGTCTTGGCGACACTTACTTCAAAACCCTCCTTTTCAGCTTTCTCCCTTGCTTGAGGCTGTGAATTAAAGTATTCAGTCAAAATTTCAAGTGCAAAGGGAGCGCAAAATAAAAAATTGTTTGACAGCCAGAAAGGATGTGTAAAGAACGCAAATTGTTTATATAGAAGTTGTTTTCAGCTAACTTGATCATTAATCACGGAGTAAATACAGCATGATATTATTTTTATAGAATTGAACGCAATTGCAAGATTTTAACATTTACCTCAGTCAATCCGACCATACTGATTTCAGGATGAGTGAAACAAGCTGCCGGAATGCTCAAATGATTTAGCACGTGATCCCTTCCAGTGATTTGTTCAACCACTGTGTCAAGAATTCATGCAAAAGATGAAACAATTGTAGAAGTAAGCATCAGATTTGAGGTCACAAAAAATGGATCCACTTGCAACTAACCTGAAATTCCTTGTGCACTTGCTGCATGAGCAAGCATCATTTTACCATTAGCATCACCAATGCAATACAAGTGAGGAATCTAAGTGTTGATAGTATCAAATCAGGTATTAGTAATGATTCACAACAGTCATATTAAACTGTGCTCATAAGCAAATAATTGGACGAACCAGATCCCCCTATAATCAAGGACACGCATACGCTCATCAACAGGAATAAAACCGTGTTTCCTTGCTACATTGACCTATTGGAAAGAGAGAGAGAGAGAGAGAGAGAAGCAATTAAAAAAAATTCTTCTTCCTGGAGGCGAATCTATTTAATTGAAGCAACACTATTATCAAAGGATACGTACAATGTCCAAGCCAAGAGAGTCTGTGAAAGGAGCCCTTCCAGTTGCAATTAATGCTGCATCTACCTATAGCGAAAGCAAAATCAGAATTACCCTGGATGCCATGAAATGGGATTTCAGATCATAAGACAAAGAAAGACATCCTTTGAAAACTGGAAATTTGCATGCAGTGAAACCATACTGAATATTAATGTTTAAATTAGGCAAGCGTATGCAAGTGCTGATGCCTGAGCTGCAGGAGGCATCTGAAAGTAATTGACATGAATGCCAAATTTTACAACTTGTAAATTGTAATTGCTGTTCAGGCTTAAACATAAGAGAGGTCCATCATCGACTCAAGTGTTCCATGGAGGTATATGAATGAAGATAATTAAAAAAAAAAATGCTCGAAGAGCTTTACCATTTTAAGGCAGGCCTTTTCTCCTCAAACAACATATAGAAATAGAAATTTTTTAGCAATCTACTTTGCTCGGTAAGACACTGATAAAGATGCATACTAGCATCTGACATCCAGACTTCATTTAACTGAAACAATTTACATTACCTCCAGAGTCTCTTTGGGTTCCTTGGTATTGGCATCAATAAGCTCAATGGTGACTGGTTTCCCATTCTTAGCTGGAGTGATCTATGAATAATACAAAAGAAGAAAAGCAACTGAGACCGTCACTAAAAGGAACAAACAGGTAAACGAATATGAAATTCTGATTACCTTAGTTGCAAATACTCCAGTATGATAATCTATTTTCCGTGGATTAATTAGGACCCTTTGAGCCAACTTTCCAATTTCAGGGTCAAATCCAGGCATGAGCTGATCAAGGGCTTCTATAAAGGTGACCTGCACATAAACCCAATCAATGACATCAATTATCTGCGATGAGAAGTTTGGACTATCGACAAATAATCTTAACAATGGTGATGCCAATTAAAAAAATTGATTAATAAATACAAGTTACAAGCTGGCACTGCCCACTTCTTGAAAAGAAAAATAAGAAGAAGAAGAATCAAAGGCGAAGCAAACAGCTACAGAATCTCATATATGTATCATTTAACAAATAAATGCATGAGAATCTAAACTGCAAGCTAAATAATCTGCCAAGAATCTGTGATGGTGGAAACTTAGATAGCTTATCATCTAGAAATACATAAATTAATTGGATTGGAAAGCTCAAATCATGTTGAGCTATCAAAATAAATGCACATAAGCACTGCAGGAGTTGTGAAGGATCTTCCCACGCAAAGCTGGGTTCCAATTGGCATCAAAGTAATGCATATAGAAACTTGAAATGAGAAAGAGAAGAGGTAAGGGGCAATCATTAAACAACAATGAGAGCACTATAAAAAACAGAAAAAGAAATGTTAGCTTAACATGCTGATTTTTCCCACCAGAATGCTCTACAACAGCATTTTCTTAACGGACCACAAAAAAAAAAAAATAAATAAATAAAAAAGAAAAAAATGCAGTACCTCACTTCCAAGGGCAGTATACACATCACTGAATTCTAGACCAATGTAACCACTTCCTACAATTGCTATCCAATCTGGAACAGACTCCAGTTTGAGTGCATGGTCACTTGTGATTACAGTCTTCCCTGCAGATACACAGAAATTAGAAGATTCCATATCATATTATCTGATAGATGACCCTTTATCCACGAAAGGCATGCTAAGCTCCTATAATCTTGAGGAAGATGAAGGCTACAAGCATGCTTTCGGCAAGTTGCAACATCGATGTGGAAAAAAATCAGGATTGAACAAGAGGAGCAGAATGCATCTTTCAAGGAGTTTGCATCTTATAAGATAAGGCAAATTCCTGATAGTTAAACTGCTTTGGATCAAACTTTTAATGAAAATGGTTGATCATTTCTAATAATGAAAAAAGAGAGAATGTTTACCATCAACTTCGATGCCCTTGGGCACAAAAGGGACAGAACCAGTAGCAATGATTATATCTTTAGCAGTAACTATGTTGAATGGAGAATCACGACTTCTCCTATATCCCACCTTGTGTGGGCCCTGAATGAATCAATAATAAAAAGCATTAGGATGCATAAAAATCCCAAATCATATCACCATAGCACCTCATTGAAAAAATTATATTTTCTAAACAAAGTAAAGGAATTTGAGTTTGTGGTGCTGACACACCCATGTGACAGAATGTTAACTCACCAAAATTGTGCCAAAACCAGTCAAGATATCCACACCCAAGGCCTTCATCGAGTTTGTTAAATTATTACGAATTTTCGTAGCAAGATTATTGGCATGATCTGCCACTCCTTGTCTATCATATCCAGCAGCTGCAACCTATTCACGAATTCCAGAGAACAAACAGAACCATAAAATAACGTTATTTGCAGCCCCACCCCCCCCCCCCCCCCCCAAAAAAAAAAAAAAAAAAAACCTCTGTTACCTGCAAACCCAAAGCTTTCATGTGATGCTCACTCTGTAATTCACGCATCCGTCCACTTACAGCTAAAAGCGCCTTTGAAGGAACACAACCTCTGTTCACACATGTCCCCCCTACCACATCTCCTTCAATGATAGCAGTTTTCAAACCCTGTGATTACAAAGTTGTCAAAATTCACACACCTTCCACGCAATTCAAATAGCAATAAGAGCATATAAGTAACACTAAAGCAAAACTATAAAGAATTAAAAAATACAAATATGTCATTGTATAAAGCACAATTAATCTAAGCCTGTACAATTTATCTAAGGCAAAGTTAATCTGGCAATGTTAATCTGAGCTTGTGACTTTAACCAAGACTAATTCAACAAACATTACAGCTCAAAATCACTATGATTCTAATAAAAAGTCTGAGAATCACAGACATTCAAACAAAATTAAAGAGTAAAAAAACCAGTTCCACTAAAGTGTAGACAACGAAGCTTCTATACATAACTAGGCATAAAAATAAATAAAAAACTGAAAATCAATGTAATTTAAATAAAAAAAGTCAAATTCGAAATCAATTAATTTGAGCTTTGATCCCGATTAAATAATTAATCTAGGCCTCTACACTTAATTAAGCACTAATTTCAACGATTAAAAAGAAAAGAAAAGGAAACAGTTTAGAAGTTCACTACCTTCTCAACAGCGTGAAGTGCGGCACCATGGCCACCAACCCCGGCACCAATAATGATCAAATCATAATCAAATGACTTTGGTGCGCTTCCATTATCAGATAGAGAAGCTGAGATTGCATTACTAATTTTCTTAGAGCGGAATTTACTTTGGAGAGATTGAGAACGAGAGAGAGAAGAGAAACCTCCAAAGGCTTCTCTTCTAAGACCGCAAAAACGGAGATTTATAGGCTTAGAAGGATGGAAAGGGAGAGAGTGATTAACAGTGTAGTTCGATTTGGGAATGGTTAAGGCTGTTGCGGGTTGAGAGAGCGAGAGAGTTAGAGAGGATTGCATTTTGAAAGAAAGAAACAAAGGAAATGTGAGAGAAATTTCTGAGAGAGAGAGAGATGAGAGATCAGAGAGAGAGAGGGAATGGTGAAAACATATAATGGTGGGTCTTTTAGAGAGGGAGAGGGCTTTGAGAAGTCCGTTGAAAGGGGCGGAGATATCAAAGCGCGGCTGATGAACTACTTTTGCTAGCTTCCTTTATTTTTGTTGCTTTACCCAGGTCGCATGGCTAGTGCCATTTTGCTTGTTGAAAAATGATTTTTCTTTTCCTTTTTCACAAACTATAAATAGGACCTTAACATATTTTAAATTTTCAATTAGATATTTATTCTTTTGGATGCATCAGTATTACCCTCATCCCTTCGGTTATAAAGGAAAGAAGAGGTTGGCATAATTTTGATAGGTTGAGGGTAACGTTGGTGCAATCTAAAGAAGAGGAATCTATTCAAAACTTACTAAATAGATGGATAGTGTATTTGTAATTTGCCCTTTTCTTTTGGCCCTTCTCCTTATATTGATATTGATTTTTGTTGTTGTTGGCTATAATTTCGAATTCGCCAGCAATCCATTTTTTTCTTTTTTCTTTTTATCTGCTACGAGCAATGCATCTCAAAATTTCAAATAGCGGTGTGTCAGGATAGTTTTGTGTTTGAATTTTTCTTTTTCTTTTTCTTTTTTTCCGTTTAGTGGTGCATCATGAGATATTATGGACAAGAAGCAGTATGAAATAGGGATATCTAAGTAGTACTCCATTCACTAGAGGATGGAACATTCATCTTTGGAAGAATATAATGACTTTTGTAAGAAAAATTTTGGATTATGTGAATTATTATAAGCTCTGACTACTAATCACTCGTTGTCTTTTATAGCTTCGAATTTCAACGAACCCCTTGAAAAAAATAATGCAGTTTCGGATTTTATTGAAGCAAATGGGCATGATCCAAAGTGTAGAAGCATATAACTGCACAAGTTTCACAATAAGTCCACTCTACAAGGAATCCAGTCCAATACTGATCTAGAGAAACATAAACACAATTGCAATGTGCACAGACTACGATTAGAATATGGCCCATAAAGCTACAGCCACACCAAAAAAAAAAAAAACACACACACACACACACACTCTCGTCATGAACTCTTTTTCAAAATAAATTATAAATTAGACCCTCTATTTTCAAGAAACAAATTAATTAATCCTTATTGTTTCGAAATAAATTATTTAATCTCTTAACCAAGTGTTGAATATATTTAATTTAATATTATTTTATTTTAAAAATATATTTTTTACATCAACCACTTCTAAATTTTTACTTTTTTTTTAATTCTAAAAAAATCAAAATAAATTAAAAAAGAAAAAAAAATATTAAGTTATAAGAAAATTTAAAAATATAAGAATTAAATAATTAATTTTTAAAACAAAAAAAAAAACTAGATAGTTCATTAAGCAAAACTAGAAAAAATAATTTATAATTTACTTTTTTCTCATTCCCTTTCATGCCATCAAATATGAAACAGCATATTCATATATATGGAGCACATGTAATAGCTTATCGCTAATTTTTTACACGTGCTACGTTGCGGATTGAATAAAATCATTTAAAAAAATTATTTTAGTTTGATAGTCTCGTTTTATGGTATAAATATATAAAAATATATGAAATCAAAGGTGAAAAAAAATTTAAATTTTTTAATGTAATTTGAAATTAAATGGATGAGAATTTTTTAAAATTACAAATTAGAGTAGTAAATTTTAAATAATAAAAATAATCAACAAAAAACACTAAAAAAATGGAATCATATTACAATACAATTAAATTTTGAAATTAAAAAAAAAATTATTGTGTAAAAAATTTGAGGACATGTAATTTTAAATTAATTGGATGAGAAAAAGAATGAATAATATTAAACTAAATGAAAATTGTTATTAAATGTAGTTTTAAATTAATTGATGAGAATTTGAAAAAAATGGCAAATTAAAGTTATAGATTTTAAATAATAAAAATGATAAAAAAAATATTAAAACAAATGGGCTAAATCACGATACAATTAAAATTTAAATTTTTTTAAAAAAATTGTATAGAAAATTTGAGGACCATATAATTTTAAAGTAATTGGATGAGAATTTAAAAGAAAAATGACAAATTAAAGTAGAAAATTTGAAATAATAAAAATAATTATGAAAAAACACTAAAATAAAATGCTACCAAATCACAATACAATTAAAGTTTGAAATTGAAAAAAAAACTATAAGATACTCGCGCTACAGTGCAATAAAACAACCGTAGCATACGTAAAATTAACTATTTATATGATGCAAGTGTGAGCGAAGTTTTATTTCTAGTAATTGATGTAAATGGCATCTATATATTAAGTGAAATCGTTTGATTTATATATATTTATTAACAAAATATTTAATAATATTAACATGAAAAATTGTATTTAAATAATTAAGTGGCTGTTTGAAAACATTATCAAACTTATTTTATTAAAAAAAATTAAATCTTAAAAAATAAATAAAAACATAATTGATATTATATGTATAGATATATAGTTAATTTCTAACAAAATTAATGATACACACACAAATATATATATATATATATAACACCTAAATTGTATGAAAAATATTGAAGTCAACATATTAAAATAAAAAATATAATAAAATTGGTTTCGATAAATTCTGAATAAATATATAAATATATAAAAAAAAAATAAAACTTATGAATTCTTCTAACTCGATTATTAATTTAAAAAAAAATGAGTCAAATTATCTAAAACATACTTTTAGCTCTCTCTCTCTCTCTCATGATTTATAAATTATAACAATATATTTAAAAAAAAAAAAAAACTCATTTAAAAAGCAAAAGAATAATTTATTGTATAAATTATAATAACATATTTTAAAAAATAGAATATTGATGTTTTAAATTTTTATTCCAAAATTCATATATTAATAAAATAAATTTACTAACAAATAAAATCATATCAAAAATAAACACGATGAGAATTTTAATAAGAAATAAATAATTTAAAAAATAATTTTTAAACAATAAAAGTAATATAATAAGATATATATGTTCAAACTAAGATCTAAAAAAATATCATATGTTATGAAAAGTAAAAGTAATATGAGAATTTAAAGGAAATATGACAAGAAGAAGAATTCACTATAAAGTGAATATAAGTGAGAAAAACTTTAAGTTATTCTTTTAATCTCTCTAAAAACTTGTACATCAACAAATGAACAATCGAGCCTATTTATAGGCCTCAAAATTAAGATGAGAATTGGAAGGGGCCATGAATAATTAAAAGTACATCAATTACCAATTTTTCATATTGAATGGTGAATTGAATCACCTTAAGGATTATGAGTAGTAGGGATATGAAAAGTAGATGGACATTCATATATGAACATTCATTATTTTATAACACTCGCTTTGAATGTCCATTGTACAAGGAATATGCTTCGTTAAAACCTTACTAGGAAAAAATGCAATAGGAAAAAAATCCTAGTGAAGGAAAAAGAATACGATATTCTTTGTACACATTAATACTCATTTTGGTCTCCCCGTTGAAGACATTATTTAAGATCTTTAAGACGACGCATTCCAATCTTGTGAATCATCTTCTCAAAAGTTATGGTAGGTAATGCCTTAGTGAACAAATCTACTGGATTGTCACTTGATCGAATTTGTTGAACATTAATATCACCATTTCGTTGAAGATCATGTGTGAAAAATAATTTTGGTGATATATGCTTCGTTATGTCACCTTTAATGTATACTTCCTTTAATTGAGCTATGCAGCGAGTATTATCTTCATACAAGACCGTTGGAACTTCCTTGCTATTGGATAAACCGCATGTCTCTTGAATATGGTGGGTCATTGATCTTAACCAAATACATTCTCGACTTGCCTCGGGAATTGCTAGTATTTCGTAGGATTTCAAGACGTGGCAGCTATAGTTTGCTTCATAGAACGCCATGATATAGCTATATCTCCATATGTAAATACATAGTCGGCTTGAGATTGAGCTTTGTGTGAATTAGATAAATAACTTGCATCCGCATAACCAATTAATCCAGATATTTGATTTGTTAGAGTAATATAAACCCATATTAATTGTTCCTCAAGGATAACGTAATATATGTTTAATTCCATTCCAAGTCTCCGTGTTGGAGCAGTAACTATATCTTGCTAATAAATTTACGTAAAATGCTATATCATGTTGAGTATTTTTAGCAAGATACATTAATGCACCAATTGTGCAAAGTATTGTACTTCGGGACCAAAAAGTTATTCGCTATCTTCTCGAGGTCGAAAAGGGTCCTTTTAAACATCAAGTGAACGAAATGCCATCGGGCTAGTCAATGGATGAGCCTTATCCATGTAGAATCTTTGCAGTACTTTTTCTATATATGTTGACTAATGAATAAAAGTTTCATCTTTTAAGTATTGGAATTGCGAGCCGAGACAAAATTTTGTTTTTCTAAGATCTTTCATGTCAAATTCTCCTTTTAAATAATTTATGGCACTTAAAATCTCTTAAGGAGTTTCAATTATATTTAAATCGTCAACATATATAGTAATTATCACAAAACCTCTTTTTGATTTTTTTTATAAAGACATATGGATAAATTGAGTTGTTTTTATAACATTCTTTTAATAAATAATCACTAAGACGATTATACCACATGCGTCCAGATTGTTTCAATTCATATAGAGATCTTTGTAATTTAATCAAATACATCTCTTGAGAATATATTTTACATGCTTCATGCATTTTAAGTCCTTATGGGACTTTCATATAAATACCATTATCAAGTGACCCGTATAAATAGGTTGTGATTACATCTATTAAATGCATATAAAGTTTTTCACATGTTGTCAAGCTAATAAGATAACGAAATGTAATTGCATCCGTTATAGGAGAATATATTTCTTCATAGTCAATGCCGGATATTTGTGAAAACCCTTGCGCTACAAGTCTTGCTTTATATCTCATA